TAATAAGGTATATAAAAAGGTGGCCTTTGTCCTAAAAATAAAAAATATTAGTATAGGATTTTACTTGGACAAGGCACTGTGGATTGTATGTCAAATACAAGGAAATGTGGATGGAAAAAAATTATGGCGTAAATACTATGTTTTGGGAAGGATTATTAAAATGCTTGTGCTTAAAATTTTTGTTTCATTTCAACCATTTAAACAGATTTACATCATAAAAGAGAACAATCTACAAATATTTTGTGCTACACCAGTTCAACAACAAAAGATTTGATGGGACCACTAGGGACATTTCTGGGCCGCTCTGGGGCCATGAGTCCAGAAACCAGATCCATGATGCTGTAGATTTAAAGTACTTTTGTATCACCATAAGCACATTTTTATATGATTCTCATGTGGCTATAGGAAATGCCCCATCATATTGGTGAAGTAGACTATGGGTAGGGGCCCATAAATGTGTGTTATTCCAAGGCTCACTCGCAACTGGCTAGAACAAATTGTACAGTGAATTCAGTCACCTTATAATCCATTTTATTCCCATCATCAGCTGTAAACCCTACCTATTTTGCTAAAAAATGAATTTTGTTGTGGACATTGTCATTCATAAAATATTGATAAATTTGATTTCATAGACGTCAACTTTTATCTTAGTCGGTGGCTGTAATAAATAGTGGGCGATAATGACAACAAAATATTCAAAAGATAATCACGGGTTATAAAAATATTCTTTTGAATGCGGATTGCAGCACCCTTCGATAAAATTTTAACCTATATTTTTTTGGAAACAATAATTGACCGGATCCATTCATGTGTCCTGTGTGAATTTAGCAACCGATGTACGTCCTGTATCTTTAAATTAAGCAGCGTTTTCCTAATTCGCATTCGGATTATACCTATCAAGTACTTACTGTCAAATTGCAAAGTCTGCCATTTGACCGTCTGCTTCAGGGATGTCAAACTCAAAACAAAACAAAGGTTTAACTTTAGAAGGGCCGCAAAAAAATCATTATTCATAGAAACGTTTATTTTGTATACATATGTACATATGTATATATATATATATATATATATATATATATATATATATATATATATATATATATATATATATATATATATATATATATATATATATATATATATATATATATATATATATATATATATATATATATATATATATATATATATATATATATATATATATATATATATATATATATATATATATATATATATATATATATATGATGACACTATATTCCGGGATATCATTCGTTTGCTTGTTGAACTCCGACTGGAATCCTGCAGACGTTTCGCCAAAATCTCACTTGGCATCTTCAATGCTCGCGCTCCGAAAACACTTCGAAGACTCGAAGAGTTCAACGAGAGAACGGATGATATCCCGGAATATAGTGTCATCACATTTTTCCATCCGTGAATCAATATGTGAGAATATATATATATATATATATATATATATATATATATATATATATATATATATATATATATATATAGTTTTTTTTTTAAAACGAAAAAGAAAAATTTAATGTTTACGTCCTGATACTTGACATCTCTTCTCTGCTATTATCTTTCCTATTTCTGGACAAATTGTGACCCAAGGTGAGCATCATTGATACGGTTTCTAATAGGACACTTATTACCTTTCATGACTGAAAATAACTGCTCGCACCGACAAGTACTACCAAACATGGAAATAATTTCATATGCGAATTTTCGAGTATTTTCAAATATGGCTGGTAAATATTTGTAAAATTCAGGCACGCCCACTTGAATGAATTTTTCTTTCAAATTTGAGTCGCATTGAATCTCGATCACCTCCATTTGCATATGGTCTGGTACTGAGTCTATACTTATTGCGAAAATCGAAGAAAACAATAAAAATTTGTCTTCGAGGGAACTAAAATCGTTAAACCTCATTTCAAATTCAGCTATTAAATTTGCAATTTTTTCTGCGTATTTTTGATACGAACAAGTATCATCTAAACTCGTTTTGTTCATGCTGCACGTCGGGAAGTGTGTCAAATCTTCATTCATTCAAATCTTGTATCCATATTGGATCGGAAAGTAAACTTACGTCTTGATTTTTCATTTTTAAAAATTGACATATTTCTTCTGTCAAATCCCAGAATTGTTTGAGAATCTTGGAGCAAGATAACCAACGTACCTCGGTATAGTAGGACAAACCGGAATATTCACTATCCAAGTCGCTTAAGAAAGCAGTGAATTGACGCTGATTTAAGCCTCGAGATCTTATCAAATTTATAACTTTTTTTATATATGACAAAACATTCTCCATGTTTATTACCTTCGTGCATATAACTTCTTGATGTATAATACAATGCGTATGATGAATGTTTGAACCGTGAATTTCACTAATTTTTTTTCTTAGTAATGCGACGAAGCCCTTGTTTTTCCCGGTCATTGATGGAGCGCCATCTGTAGCGACAGAATTTAATTTTGCCAAAGGTAGCTCATATTTCTGCAGAAGTTTAAAAACACAAGTAAATATATCTTGTCCTGTGGTAGTACCAGGCATCGGTATTAATTCCAGTAATTCCTCAAAAATGTTAAAATTCTTGTCACAAGAACGAAGAAACACTGCTAATTGTGCTTTGCCACTAATGTCCGTGTTGTCGTCACAGGCAATGGAGAAATTTTCGAAATTAGATGCTTTTGCTTTAATCTGATCACTTGGCGGCTAAATCAGTAATTCTTTCCGCAACTGCATTTCGAGACAATGAAATTGATTGAAAAGCCTTCACATTTCCAGGACAAACAATTTCTCCAGCTTTTATTAGGCATTCCTTGATGAAATCACCCTCAGTAAAAGGCTTCGAGTGTTTAGCCATCAACTCAGAAACGACGTAACTTGCATGTACCGCCGCTTCACTTTCTTGCAATACTTTACTAAACATCAACTGTTGTTTTTCAGTCCTAATTTGAGTTCTTTCAACTTTTCTTCTCTCATTAATCCTTCATAATTGTTATATTTTGACTGGTGTTGTTCGTAATGACGTTTAATATTATATGACTTTGGTACATTAATAGTATTTTTCCATATCAAGCAGATTATTTTATCTTTTATTTCACAGCAAAAGTATTCTAATTCCCATTTTACTTGGAATATCCTATGTTCGTCAATGATTTTTCGTTTAATTTTACTACCACTTGGTTTTAATACAGACATACTGAATACAATGGGCTGGAATAAATACGCTGTTGTTTAGAAAAATAATACATTTTAATAAAATGTATAAAAAAAACATTTTAATAAAATATTAATGTTAACATTAACTTACCAGAGAAACGGAATAACTGTATAAATAAATGAGAGTACTATGAATTAAGTTATAATTAATATTAAAACAAAATTATTCCTATTACCTGCACTAATTCATGTATATCGTACAAAACTATGTTCAGAGAACGCGGATATGTTGGCCGGGCCGCAAAAATGTTCGTAGTGGGCCGCATCCGGCCCGTGGGCCGCGAGTTTGACATCCCTGGTCTGCTACATCGAGATCCCTCGCGGGGCGAGACTCACCGAGACTTTCCGAAACGAGACCGAACGTCGTTTGGGATTTTCGATCATTTGAACATTCTATCATTTGTGCTGTTCACGTTGTCTATGCATTCGATCATTTGTGGTGTGTCCGATCAGAAGGCCGTATTTGGCCAAATGTCCATATGTCCAAATCGTATCGGGGCGTTCGGGGCAGACTAAGAGGGAGGCCGGCAAAGCGTTTCCGTGAAAATAATTTTTGCTGGACAGAGAATTTTTAAATTCATTCAATGAGCAATAGGATTTATCAATATCTTTATCCAGCGACTATTTTGAGGATATGATTGTCAATTAAAACATTTTAGATTTTGTAAAAATTTAACCAGCTACCTAGCATACCCAGGAATTGAAAACGAAAAGTTACCCAAGTAGTTAACTGGATAACAAGTATGAAAAAATTGAAATTGCATTAAGATTTTAGAAAAGAACAGCGCCCACTATTTAAAGATACCAACCAATTTAAAAAGGTCTAATTGTAAAATAAAAATCCCTTAGGTGCCAATGAAATACCTACCTACACTTTCATTGTAGTATGTTTAATAGAAGTTGTAAGTTTTTTAGCTTAAACAATAGCGTAAATTGGTGTTCTTTATATCATGTCCAATAACCCCTACTTTATTTTGTAAACTGTTAATTTTATTTTGTTTGTAAGTGGAAACCACCTATGTATTTAATTAACCAAAGTAAAATATTTGAATCGCATTTTATAAATTAATTTGCTATCTGAGCCGTGTTTACACTTGTATTTTAACCTCTCCCTTAATTTGGATAAATGGTTCGGCCGCTTTCAGGTGTTCGTCGCCGGTGCCTGGGGTGATATGCACAATGCACATTATAACATTTGTGGTTTTCCCGGTGATTTGGACAAATGCACCATATAACATTTGTGGTTTTCCCTTTAGGAACACCACAAACAGTCGAATGTTCAAGGTGTTCCCACAAACCACCCTTCCCAATCGAACCCGAACGCTGTTAGAGATATTCAACAATTATTATTATTCCAAACAAATAATTTTAATGGAGTCTACTGCACACACCGATAACTTTAAACGACATTAAACAACAAACAAAAATTAAGCAACAACAAAAAAAATAAAGAGCACTCCTGAAATTAAGAGAAAGAAATAATAAAATTTTTAGATTGATTGAATTGTTTTTAAATTTCAAACTAAGATGTTTCTTGAATGTTGAACACTCGGATGAATCCATAAAGGTGAATCGCCAATGATACCACACCACCTATATTTTTACTAATAACAATAACAATTATACAACACAAATATGAAAGTTATATGGAAATAACACTTTTTTCCGCCGAAGGTCTCATTACATTCGTGCCTATCGCTTGGTGAAACGTAAAGGAAGAAGAGAAGGTTCTGTGGTAAGTAAGGTATGGTATAACTATAACTAACCTGAGTATTCCATATAAGCCATGCAGCCTAAGTTATAATACAGTTTATTTTTTCGAAGTTGGCTGATTTTGTTGTCCACGTAAACGATTGACTATATTTGGTTAAAATAAACTCAACTATAATAGCTTCTCAATCTGATGTAGTTAATTATGAAGTGTCATTATGAAATATTGGCTGTGTCGCTGAATGCAGATGCTGCAGAAATTAAAACGGCTTACAGGAAATTGGCACTGAAATGGCACCCTGACAAAAATCTGGACAACGCAGAGTATGCAAAAGAACAATTTCAATGTGTTCAGCAAGCATATGAAGTGTTAAGCGATAAACAGGAGCGTGTATGGTATGATAAACATAAGGAAGAAATTTTGAGGAGAACTAGTTCCCAATATCTGGAAAATAGTCTGGATGTGTATCAGTTCTTTACAACATCCTGTTTCCGAGGTTATGGAGATGATGAAAATGGTTTTTATACTGTATATCGAAAAGTTTTTGAACTAATTGCTAATGAAGATATCAAATTCATGAATAAGGATGAATTTATTGAAGTTCCCACTTTTGGAAATTCAACAAGTGATTACACTAGTGTTGTAAATCCTTTCTACATTTTTTGGTTGGGTTACTCAACTAAGAAAACTTATTCTTGGTTAGACCCTTGTGACATTGAGCAAGGTAATACTAATTAATTTATTCAATACCAAAAATAATTTGATGACATTATTTTAGCTAAAGGTAACCGAAAAGTATCTAAAATTTTTGACAAAGAAAATCAAAAAGTTCGTCAAAAGGCAAGACAAGAAAGAAATGAAGAAATACGTAATTTGGTTGCCTTTGTTAAAAAAAGAGACAAAAGAGTCCAAGCTAATAAAAAGGAAGTGGAAGCCAAATCATTGAAAAACAAAAAGAGGCAGCAAGTATTAAATAGACAAAAAAGATTGGAATGGAAAAAATTATGTGAGGATGAAAATCAGGCAGATTGGACCAAATTTGAAAATGTTAAATCGGAGTTAGAAGAGATAGAAAAACATTTAGATAGAGAATTTGGTACTTTAGTTACAAGTTCGGATGGAGACGCTGACGACCAAATAAACAATTTGTACTGTATAGGATGTAATAAAATATTTAAAAACATTAAAGCTTTTGAAAATCACGAATTTAGTAAAAAACATAAACAGAATATGAAAATATTGAAACAAATCATGTGTGAGGAAAGCTTAAACTATTCAGATAATTTTGATGACAACATTCAAACTACACAACTTGATGATGCTAATTCAGTTTTTTCAGAATTAAATGATCACGGAAAGATAAAACAAAGGAAACACAAACAGAAAAAAAATAGTCCGGAGGAGCCTAAAGCAAGTGTTGCAGATGTTAATAGACATAGTAATAAAAAAATGCCCATTTTAGCAACATTGTCATACAATGGTGAAGTTGATGATGAAAATAAAATAGAAAAGAATAAATCCTGCACAAATAATATTAATAAAAATATGTCAAGAGAAGATGTGCAAAGGCAATATAATAAAAATAAAGGTAAAAAGGGGTCAAAGAAAGCTGCCATATTTGAGTTAACAGATATCGATTTACATCATTGTTGTTTAACCTGCAACTCAAATTTTACTTCTAAAAACAAGTTGTTTGAGCATTTGAGGAACATGGGACATGAAGTATGTGTACCCCTGAAAAATGCAAAATGTCACAAATAGCACTGAAATATACAACTACTGTCTGTGTTTTGCCTTTTTTTTTTAATTAAAAAGTTCCGATAACCTGCATATTGATATTATCCCTTATGTTTTCAATATAAGTAATTTCTTAGGGAAATATTAAATTTAATTGAACCAAAATTTGACAAATATGAAATTACTTTTATATAGTGTGATTTGCATCATAATTATAGGGCTATAACCAACTTGCCTTTAAAGTAAAAAGTCACTACTAAATACAGGGTGCCCCACCCGGAACTTCATCGATCTGTCGAATAAAATTTTATGTCCGGTTTCGTGATTGTGTTCGGCAACTGCTAATGAGTATATTTGTTTTAGTCTTAAGGCTCTTTCATGTTCTGTGAGCCTAGTTGATATTTTTTGTCCTGTCTTTCCAATGTATTCTTTGCCGCATATGCATGGAATGCTCTAAACTGGCATCGCAAATGGAATTTGCCGAATCGAAGATGAAAGATTTTTGGTTAGAAAATCTGGCTTTGAGTGATGTTTTGAATGTAAGGAAGGACCACAGTTTGCAAGTGTAGGATCGCTTTCGGCTTCGTTGCTATTGGAAGGTTCTGGTGAAGTGTATTTTGTGATCGAACGCGTGATATCTGTCAGGACATCTTTATTGTGCAAATTATTAGAGAGAAGAGCAGAGGTCAGTGACTCGGGCTGAAATAGTTTTGGTTACCGATGATTTTTGGGTCGGACGGTGATGTGAACATGTGGTAACCCAAATAGCACAAAGACGTCCGTAAAACATCCTCGGGATATCTGACAGGACATGGCGTCTATCCTAGAGATATACTGTTTCAGCTAAGGGGCATCCTTAAGACGTCGCAAGGATATACGATGTTACTAATATCAGATGCCTATGTCCGTAGGACGTTTGTTAGGACATACTAAGGATATCCAGTTATACTAGTTCAGATATGGTTAGTATATCCGACTGTGAGGATATAGGATCTTATATAGATATACCAGTGTACCTTACTTAATTACTAGGTTATTTCCAACAGCCTATTAGAAATGCTAGAAAGGTATGGTCCAGTAGTCCAATTGGTTGTACGACTATAAAAATTCTATCCCAGTATTTGGTACTCGCGTGTGATGGAATTAACCTATTGGGTATGGTTGGTGAAGTCATCACTGGAATAGCAGGTGATATTTGAAATGCACAAGTTTTTTCCAATTAATATTTAATGTTTAATTTTGCTTTTTATGGTAAAAGTGAAGGACTGCCGATTCATACTATTTTTTGTTCTATTGTAGATATGAAAAAATTGTAGGTATATAATATAGCAAAAATATCGAACAACCTAACCTAAAGTATTTTAAAAATAGAGTAAGATACTATATCATGAACTAAACTCTCAAGAATAACTAATATTTGACAGGTTTTGTGTCATTCTTTGATGAAAGTAGCTTTTTTCAGCCAGCTATTTAATTCTAACATTGTTTTGATGTTTGTGATGTGTGTGCCTTCTTATCTGCATCCCAAAATATTTTAGTTTTGAAAAACCCAGGTTTTATTTAAAAAAAATAAAAAGAACGAGACTGGTATCATATGTTTAAAAAACAGATTTCAAAAATACCTACATCCGCCTTTTAAGTAAAGGTTTTATTTGACGCTGGTAGTACTCAAATGAAAGTGATCTTAGATACTAATCTCCACGATATATGTAGGTATACACTAATATATATACTATATATTAATCTCCACGATATATGTAGGTATACACTTACGTATTTCATACTATCGAGCGCAAAAAAAAACTAGAACATATATGACTTTTCAGTTTGACAGTAAAGTAGTCCTATTTTCATGCAATATTTTTTTTCTACTCCCGTCTGTAAAATACCTAATTACACACCGAGCGGCAAGCGTCACTTTACCACCTCAGTTTTGTTTCCCACTGATCCGAGCCACTTTAGACATTTCCGGGATTTTACCGCACAGGTCATGCCAGTGACTGTATTCGGTTTGGTTTGGCGAAAATGTACCCAAAAATTAACGGTTATAGAAAAAGTATAGTATGCAACACTTTCAGTAAACTTTTTAAGTCACTCATTTATTAAACACCCGCTCCGCTGGTGTCAAATAAACTCGTAAGTCAAATGCCGTTTACCGCACTTGTTGTATAATATACTATTGTCAACTTAAAAATTTTCCTAGTTTTTTTTGCTTTTGCTACTATCACCATGAAAACAAGATTGCTTTCGCAATCTCGTCGCTGCGCGGGGCGACTGCTCCGTGCTATGCGCTACGCAGTCTACGGCTTTGTATTTCAGAGAAGCCGCTAAGTGGCTTCTTGTCCTAGGAGAAAGCATTGTTTTTCTATCGTGCTCCTGCGGACCACGATGGAACTTTCGCAAAATGTAATTTTATTATGTTTGCACCCTGTATAAAGGATCGTTCATGTCTAGCCGAGTTTCAACATCACGGCAAACTTTTTTAAAAAATAAAACTTTTTATGAGTAATTGTGGTTTCCATTGATATTATTTCAAATAATCTGACTCCTTTATTGATGGATAAATACAAAAATTGTAGCACTTGATTGGATCGACACGTAGGACACAATATTAAATAATTGCTTTGTTTCACCTTCAAAATCCAAATATTACGTATTAATGCTTTGATGATGGCTTCGTGGTGAAACGAAATGTCGGATACAATTTTAAATCATTGCCAAGTCTTCAGCGCACCTCAAAACCCCCGGAACCACCTTCAAATGATAATTATTACGAATTAATGCCCTTAAGATGGCTTCCTGCTAAAACGAAACGTCGGACACAATTTTAAATTATTGCATCATCTTCAGCGCACCTCAAAACCCGGGAATCACCCTGAAATTCGAATGAATGTTCTGAAGATGGCTTTCTGCTAAAACGAAACCTCGGACACAATTTTAAATTATTGCATCATTTTTAGTGCACCTCAAAACCCCCGGAATCACCTTCAAATTTGAATTACTACGAATTAATGCTCTGAAGATGGCTTCCTGCTAAAACGAAACGTCGGCCGCAATTTTAAATCATTGCATCGTCTTCAGCGCATCCAAAAAACTCCGGAATCACTTTCAAATTACAATTATTACGTATTAGTACTCTGAAGATGGCTTCCTGCTAAAACGAAACGTCGGACACAATTTTAAATCATTGCATCGTTTTCAGCGCATCTCACAACCCCCGGAATTTCCTTAAATTTTTTAAAATATTTTATGTTTCGATACCATTGTCATTAGCGACGTTATTCCAACGAAAATAATGTAATGAGTTATCGACGACATGCAGAGCTTACTATTTATAGGTAAACGCATAGACCAATAGGATTAAAGCTTAAGAAAATTGCACGTATAATCTCTGAACCAATCAAAATAAAGGATACAAATAAATCTCAAAGCCTACTCCTGTATTAGAAACCTTATTCTCAGAATATTTACATTTCTAGTGGTTTTTTCAAATACGTGCGTTGCTCCAATAAGGTCTATCCGCACATACTATAAAGTCCCCTCCAGCCCCCTCCATTTAATTGTAATTAAGCATTTTTTAAAAATTTGCAGCATCCGACAAAAAGCGTTCCCAATGGCAAACAATACAACTTGGATGAGACTTTTTAGTATCGTCGGATAGAGGAAGGACCAATGTGTATAACATATAAATTTTAAATTCTCAAAATTATAAATAAATAAGATTTAAAACATTCAAAATTGATCATTGATTTTTAAGCCGATTTTTCCATTTAAAATGAGATTTGAAAGTTATTTCTCAATCTATATTGATCCGAGAAAGTTGAAGTTTTTATGGAAGATACACAACAATGAGGTCCATCCGGGGATACTATAATGTCGCCCCCAACCCTCCCTTTTCGGTTAATATTTTCAATTTATTATTTTCATATTTATCATGTTTTTCTTCAAAAATTTTAGATTTTTAATTTTTTAAAATATATACTACGTTTCTCGGAGAAGATTGAAATTTTTTACCGAAGTTAGAGGTCAATGATGTCTATTCGTAAATACCATAAAGTCTGCCTCCAGCCCCCCCTATCATTAGTTAATATTCTCAATTTATTACGTTCATGGATATCATGACACTCCTCAAAAATTTTCATTTTCATTTTTTTAAAATACCTACGTTGCTTTGAAAAGATTGAATTTTTTTTTGAAGATGGAGGTCAATGAGGTCTATCCATGAAATTATAAAGTCCTTCCCAGCTCCCACCATTTAATTATAAAAAATGATTAATACAATTTTTAAAAAAATTGCAGTCTCCTACAAAAACCGTTTCCGATTAAACCATACAACTTGAGTAAGATCTTTTGGTATCATTAAATAGAGAAAATACTAGAGTATATAACGTATAAATTTCAAATTCTTAAAACTATAAATAACGGAAATATAAAATATTTTATAAAAAAAATCCCTTTTTTGTCAATATTTTGTCTTCCGGAAGGACTAAGGAACTTATAATACAACTGACTATTTTTTTTGAATACCACCCCGAATAATATCGACCTCGATCCAAAATTTTCATGAACACTTGGACGTGATTTTTCCCAAAAATTTAAGTTTTTAATTTTTTAAAATACCTACGTTGTTCCGAGCAGGTTGAAATTTTTATGAAACCTGGAGGTCAATGAGGTATTCCCGCAGATACCATAAAGACAACCCCAGCCCGGTCGATTTAATTGTAATTAAACATTTTTTTAAAAATTTGCACCTTCTTACAAAAACCGTTCCCGACGGCAAACGTTACAATTTGTGTGAAACTTTTTGGTATTGTTGGATAGAGGAAGGACGTGGGTATATAACATATAAATTTCAATTTCTCACAGTTTAAAATAAACGAGATATAAATCATAAATTACGGACCTTCGATTTGTGAACTGGTATTTCAGATCAAAATGTGATTTCGAGGTAATGTTCCAAAAGTTTGCAAAATTTTGGCTAAAGGGGTTTCTGACGATCAGAAATCCGAATCGGCAACTACTTTTTGAAAATGTTGACATTTTAT